ACATCCTATACGGGCCTATGTGAGTTTGTCAAACTTGAAGTGTATTGTTAAAATTATTGTTATTAATGGCGTTTGAAACACAACAACGCATTTAGATGTTTTTAGTTTAATAAAAATCTCGACTATGTTTTTTGACTCCCGCGCTCCCTGACATGCCGGCCTGTGACTTTTGCGGGGTTTCTTTAAGTAAAAGTTGCTATTCATCAAGAAATAACAAGATTGCTTTCGAAAAATCGTCACTGGGCGGGGCAAGTTCGTAGCGCGAAGCAGCTTTTTATTATAAAAGGAAAGAACTTCGCGGTTTCGTGTGGTAAAGAGAGGCATTGCTTTTCTGTCGTGCTCTTGCGGACCACTATGGAACTTTAGCAAAATCTAATTTAATTGTGCATGCACCCTTTATAAAATGTCCTTCACATCTCGTCGAACTTCAAAGTTACAGCAAACATCGGTAAATATCAAAATTAGCACAAATAATAGCGTTGTCCTATATTTTTTAAAATATCTCGCGCCCTGTATAATTGACGAAACCTGAAACTCACACGACATGATTTACGATACTGTTCAAATAAAATTATCCCATCCTTAACGGTTTTTCATTTATCGCCAATAATTTAGAGACAAAAAAGAAATTTTTAGCATATTTTAGATTTTTTGCCCATAAACGACACATCCTGTATATGATACAATCATTGTTCGAATTTTTTGAAAATAGTAAATGAAACCATGCAGTGCGCCGTAATAATCAATGACGTCATGGCTTCCTGACAGCCCTCGATATAGCGATTTGGATATGGATGTTTTCAAATACCCTGAGCAGCAGCGTGTGCGATAGACGAAAACCGCAAATACAAAAATAGTAGCTCATAATGCGGCCTATGACACCGTTTGAACCAATTAGCCATATTTTTTACGATTTTTGATTTGCGGCTAATAATTTACTCTGTAAAAAAAACAATTTTCTAGGTCTTTTAGATTTTTGCCTATAATTTGAAAACTCTGTATCTAATCGAAAAAATGCCTGAAATAAATGTTATTGCACTGGATCTTCGACGTCTGCCGGTTAAAGAATTTTGGCCATCGGATGAACGATTATGGAGGAAAACATATTTTTCTGGAAGCTAAAATTACCAAAAAAAAAGTTCAAAGATATTTAAAAAATACTTGGTAATATTTGATTGCGCACAATTTCTACAGTTTAAATGTGGACACGGACTTTTACTTCTCTGCCAAATTTGAAGTTGATATTTGCAATTTAGGACACCTAACACATTTCTCATTGAGCACGGAATATCGGGAACACCCTGTACAATAGGTGAAAACCTTAAATACAAAAGTTTTTGCTATTTATGCGGGCTATGTCGCAATATAAAAGAAAGTGAGATCTGAATCATAGTCTTTCAGTTATAATCAATTTTCAATAATAGGGGGACCCATTTTTCAGTTTTTTTGAATTTGCGGCACACCCTGTACATTTTTGAAAAATTGTCACAAATAAAAGTTTATAGAGCCGTATCCCCTTCTTCTGGTTCGACAATTTTTTTGGTCTCGTAAACAGTTCTTGAAAAATGATGTTTTTTGTAGTCCCTTGCACGCGCGATTTTTTATTTTTTTAGAATACTTCCCCCCTCCAATAGGTCCGCCACGGGGCAAAGCTGCATATATGAGCCAAATATGAACTCGATTGCTTAAGACACTTATCGTGTTTCAAAGCAAAGTCCCAAAAACCGTCGAAAATCGCGAAAAAATATGAATACCGGCGTCGGATCAGGGCCATTTCTTAGCTTATGTGCCTCGTGGAGGGTTAAAAAGAGGCAAATTTCAATTTTGTAGCTCCAACGTTTCGAAAGTTATTCAGGAAACACAAAAAGACGAGAACGGAGAACGGACAGACAAAAAAAATTTTTTTTTCGACGGTGATCATTTCTGTACCAAAGGCGATCCCGTAAGACTTACCGAGATATAAAATTTTTATACAAGCGCAGATACTTTCGAAAAATCGATTTTCGAAAGTGACAAGAGTACCAGACGCACGCCAAGAAGGTCACACTTGGCTGACATCATTTACCGACATTGCAGTGCGCTATTATTGGTTCATTTAGATGGAATTCAAACAACATTATTTTGAAAATAAAAAATGGCCATGCTTATGTGAAAATGCGTTTCCTCTTCACCACCTTGTATTCCATAGGCTTAGATTGAAAATTAATCCATAAAACCATGTAAATTTGGCCATATTTCAGGTATGTAAGGAACCTATAATCATTCTTCCTTATCAGTGAACTAAAAATTCATTCTTTTAAATGGTATTTAGAAAAGCGGAAGATTCGTCATCCAATAAACGTAGATCTAAAAATATTTAGTTTCCACGATACAAAGCGTCGAAAATTTAAAAATTGCTTTGTTAAGCCGATGGTCGTTTTTATTATTTTCTTTATTGTTAATTTTTAAGAAGTTTTTGGTTTTTCAAAGTCCTTGAAACAAACATCTCGTTTGATTAAAAAGGGGCGTTTTTATAAACAAAAAATTACAATACCATGTCATAACAAAAAACTTAGTTTCAAATACCATAAGAAAATGAATTAAAACAAAACTATTTCAATCGCAGCTTTAAAAATTTTTTTGTTGGTTATTTTTGGTTAGTTGTGACTAGCGTGAACGGTCAATTTTTTTGTGTGTTAATTGACCGAAATACTTTTAAAATTACAATTATTGTTATTTATATTGTGCGTTGCGTGGCCGTCGCGTCGTTCTCAGAACCAAATATAGTGGATATTTTTAATGCGATTCCCAGAATAGGTAAATTATAAAATACATTTTATTATTAAATAATGATAGATAACACTTTACAATTGCAAGATGGTATTTAAATCATTTTGATCGTTATCAACGTATCGTTGCTAACCGAATATGGTTATTGACCATTGCCCAATGAATTTTGAATTTTTACGAGGACCACTATTTTCCAGCAACTAAAACTGGTTTGGTCTGACCCAACAACTGTGAAAGATACAAAGAATTTTAATGAAGATGTCCATACCTGTGCTTTTGTGTTCCCAGAGGTATCGTAGGTAGTATATACCAACATAATATTTAAAATGTGGCCAGAAATTTATTGTCTTTATACTTAACCGCCGTATAGCCAGAGAAAAATTCAGTTATTTATTTAATACCCAAAATACATTTTTAAAAATTTTACATTTACCTATTACTCTTTTCGTGATACTGAATTAAGATTTTAAGGTGATAGTTTCGCCTAACATGTAACTAATTAAATTTGGTATATATAATCAACGAAATTTGGTATTTGTGGTTTAGCCCATTTATAGAAGTATAGTAATTTAACTTTACCACTGGCAAATTTTTAACTTTCGCACGAGCTTCGGCAAGAAGTGGCAATTTTCTCTCTTAAAACAAATTTACGATAAAAAAAGGTCCGCATAAAATTTAGCATTACCAGGAATTTTTTTAAAAAGGCGGCGCGACAATTTTTTTCTTTTATGTCAAAAAATGACTTTTAATCCATATATTAAGAAGTCTAGTTCAAAATATGCATATTTATAGTAGTACTCTTGTTGTAAATGTTATAATGAATAATTCACCCCTCGGTTCATAATCAAATTCGCCTAAGTAAAAAGTAAAATTAGAATAACGAAATAAATGTTTTTTTTTTTGCTTTATTATTTACTCTCAAAACAAATGATCAAAATGTTGATATATAGGGAAGGCTACACGCTATAAGGGTACCCGTAAAACCATAAAAAATGGGACACACCACATACATCTCCAGATAAGTACATTTTATCAATTCGTGTTTGTAAATGTTACTGGACGAATTAGTGCGTTTTTTATGTGTGAAAGGAATTACTATAACCTTTATTGTATTTAAATAAAAGTGTAATAATTTTTATAAATCTATTTAAACAATAAACTTAATTAACCTATAGTAACTGATTTAACTAAATAATTTAGAAACTAAATCTATATCCATACTTAAATCATATACATAAGTCAACCCATTTTTTCATGCATCAAATACAATGAAGCCGTCTTTGGATTTTATACCTACCTAATCTATTTATGATCAATAAACTCTAATTGTGTTACTCATATGATATGCTCTAATATATACCTATTAATTTCAAGGGCATATTAGGTATTTACTTTTGGAATATTTAAAGTACTTCCAGGAGACAGAAAAATTGAACCTAACGACATGAAGTTTAAGATTTACTAAGACTAGTTGAAAAGTTTGCAATTTGGTGCGGATGGGATCCATTTAGACGATGACACCCCAACCAAAAGATCAAATGTGATCATCAATATAACTTTATATCGGCAAACATGTGTCAAACTCAGGGTGTTTCATAAAAACGATCAATCAAGTGATCAATTTGAATAAATCGGTACCTACGTGATATTCCTATAAGATGTTCCCGTTTAATTAAATACTTAAACAATCGCCAAGGCAACAGCAATAGATTCTGACTGATTCTCATAACCAGAAGTACAAAGTAGGTCCACACCTTACTCCTAAGTGGGGCACAAAAGTAAATGAATGGAATATATTTGTTTTACTTCAATTAGCAAAACGGACTGGTAATCAAACAGATTATTTATAAACTTCTAAAATGATGCACTAATACCATTGTACCCACTGTTGAGATAGTTGGTGTTACCTACCTGGTGGGGTAAATTGTGCGGTACGAGGTTGTGTCTTTAAATTTGATAGATTTGTGTAACCACTCCTAGATACAAATTATCCCACGGAACAAGCATATTCAAGTAAAATAAAAAACAGAAACTCGCTTTCTTGTATCTCGCCAACCTCAAAGCAAAAGCTCAAGGTCTACTTCTCCATAAAATCGTGTGCTTATAAGTAGATACAGTGCGTTGATTTAATCAGCCGTGTTTTTATGTAAACAGTTATAACCGGAAGAGATACATACATATTATCTTTGATTATTTATTTATTGGAAATCATATTTTCACCGATTACTCACCAACTTGGAGCACATTATCCACACAACCCGTTTCTAGTAGTTTTAAACCTTTGCAAAAAGCAAGATTTTGAGGTTCGCTATTCACATGAACTCGCGATAAACTGGAATACATACAAATGTCTCGCTCATTTCTGGGAAACGACCAAAATACAATCCTTCGTTGTACCGGTTCCGGGATCCGATCGTATCGTTCTTCGATTTTCGCGAAGGGGATTGTTTCCGCGACTTTTTTAGCTGTTACATCCAAGAGCGTGTCCGGATTTCGGACGGGAGGCACAACAAGGGACACCTGAAGCTGGGGGGCACAGCACGGCGGTAGGGCGCCGCCAGGACGCCTGCACGTCGCGACAACAATTGCCATCGACCGCGAAATCTCGTCACTGACTAACTGAGGAGGACGGGCTGGTCGACCGCAATGAGTATTGCTAGGCGATGCTTGCAGAGGGCGCGTACGCTGAGCAGCGTTGCCGTCTTGTTTGGAAAATAAGATTTAAGAAATGGCGATGCATTTTGCTATGTACTGGGATTAGTTTACAAGTGCTCTCACACACAAATATTTAAAGAACCATTTTTCAAAGAGTCAAAAAACCACCGGAGAACATTATTATCAGTTGTGTTTAGTATATTTACTTATTCGGCGTTACAAACTTGTTAAACTTAATAAGCTGTCTATGCACATACATAAAGAGAAAGAAACATGAACAAAAATGTTGTTTTTGAACGAATGTTGTTTTTTTAAACCAACCAATAAAACCCAGCGACGTTCAACAATCAACCTGGCCGCTGAGAATTAGTCAGTGCCGGTTTTCCAGCATTTTTATTGGCAGTATTTCAAATTAAATTTAAAAAAAAAGGCTTTAGGTGATCGCTAAAAGAAAATTGAGAAAAATGCAGGTTGGTGTGCAAAATCTACTAGCATGCACGGACAAAAATGTCATAGCCGACTGAGACGCATCAGCTTTACAGTTTTAGATATTATCTATATCTACATAGCTAATGATAATGTCATAAGCCAAGAAAAAAATACGTATGATTTTCTTAAAATGTACCGAACGACCACTCACGTTGGCAACACCGTTCTGTCCTTAGCTTCGAGCCGATCTGCCAGCTGATTATCACCCCCACCCAGACGTCACGCAGTTTGTTTATGTCGTGAGCATGTGGTGCGGGTGCGGGCGGTGAAGATGATTTTGCGATGCTGACAAATTTTCGAAAAATAGCTGATTTACAGGAAATTCATTTTACGCAGACTAGTGGTCTAGAAACTGTTTTTTTTTTTGTTTTTAGAATCAATGCAATTAAAATTTACAGTTAAACAATACACAGTGTTCGAAAAAACAAAGGAATTTCACAATGGTGTTCTGATCCATGGTTGTATAGTTACTATAAAATGCCAAATCTATGAATCTCTGAAAGATACTGACAATTTTTAAAAATGATATGATTATTTTGCCTTGGTAGAATTCAACCTACTATACTGACTGAATAAAAAAAGTACATTAAATTAATAAAAAAGTGCATTGATAGATCTTAAACATTTTCTGATGATACAGGTTGGAACAGGTTGGAACAGTTTTTTTGCATCACAACGTACAGTGTATCCTATTTTTAATATTTCAGGACGTATCTCCCTCAGTAGTTTCTAAAGTCCGCGTGTTGCTGCTTTCGTAATACTTTTTATGAAATGAAAGATGGGACAAATACCATAGCTATCTTGGAGTTTTATATACAGGGTGATTTCGGAAATGTATTTTTAGACACTCTCTGTTATTCGGCTAGGTATGCGTTAACTTGCTGCAATGGTGAAAACCGAATTGGATAAGGTTTTTTAGGTAGAATCCAGTGGCATAGTCAGTTTCTTCTGAAGCGCACAATTTTTGAGATGCAATATAAACTTGTGTGAGCTAATCATAAATATGTAAAATATAAAAGCTTTTGTAAATACAATATGTCTTTAGTTTTATTATTTTTTGTGAGTGGGCTATGGAAAAAACATTCTCATTTTCCTAAAATTCTTTAGTTCTTAAACAATCGTGACATTTCACAATTGTTATTTAAAATTATTTTTTCTCTTCCTTCTGCTTATGGCTCATGATATAACCCAAAATATAACAATGACGACAAATTGGGCATAATGCATATTGAATATAGCATAAATACAACCATGTTTATTTTGACAGGTAATTAACTTTTTGTAATAAGATATGCAAGAAAATCTGTATTTTTGTATATATTTGTGAAAAGTCAATAACAAGCCGAGTAAAATTTTTATTAGTTTAGAATTCTAGAGAAAAACTGACTACGCAGCGTAAAAACCATATTCAAACCAGGTTTCACCTTTCATGATAGAAAGGATATACTGAGTGTTGCAAAAAACAAATGCGAAAAACTTATTGGGTGGTTCGTTGTTAAGAATAAATAGTTTGTTAAACGTTGAGTCAAAAAACCAAAAAATGATGTCTTAATTTTTTATCTTAAAAACAAACATAGATAGAACAATAAAATATTAGGAAAGCATTACTATTATAAAAACCGCTTTCTGCATATTTGTATTTTTTCAAATGAGTGGAGGAAATTGAATAGACCATCCCTATCATTCTTCTTAACCATACAACTATTAGATAATTTAGTGGCTCCACTAAGGTAAAAATTGATGCGCCGCAGGCGGCATTGATATTCTCGTAGAGAAGGTAATGATTTTCAGCGCATGCCTTTTTCACCCACTAACCTGCACTTTGCTGATTTGCTTTGCTATTTTCTTTCTAAACAGTGATTTGGACATAGTTAACTCATATTATAAGAACATTTAATAGGATCTAGGTATATTTTGAGTAAATATTGCCGTAAAAATGCCACATCCAAACTTATTGTCTCTCAACGGCCATACTGATTGTCGAATGCTACAAGGTCATTGGTTAAAAATGAGATCTTCGCAGGTTTAATGGACGTTCTCAAATGTTTCATAGTTGCTTCATGAGTTCCTGTATTATTGGCATAGGCAAGGCATCTATATCTCTAGTAGCTATATGTTCTTAAATAAACTTAAAGAACAACTTACGCCATGAGAAGGAAAAATTTTTTCTTTGTGAAAGGCTTCTGATTTTGTACGAATCACCCTTTTTCGAAAATCGCCTACACACACATCAAATTTTGATTCGTCGATGAAGATAACGTTACTCCACGTTTCCGCTGTCCAGGATATTTTAGATTTTGCCCAAACCAAACGTTTTTTCTTCTGAATAGACGTTAATAATAGTTTAGATCATAGAATACTAATAATTTTTATATTGAAACAGGAAAAAACTCAAACCATCCATTGTCTACAACATTCCCTGGAGACATTTAAGTTTGCCTCGTGATTCCATCGGGCTTGAATTTGTCGTACTACTTTTACAAATCTTGACCAGAATACGACGATCTCTTTCAGTGATTTTACGGGCTCGGCCTGAACTTTTACCACGCACGCTAACACTAGCTGTCTCTCCATACTTTTTTATAATATCCCCGACTGTTGATTTTGCAATATTTGAATTTTTTTGCATTGATTTACCTCTGCAGTACTGAGATATGATAATTTCTCGCACTTTTTTGTTTGTTGCAACACTACGCGTCATTTTCTTATCAACTATTATACAAACTTGAAAGATACAGCCCGAAGTGACATCTCATTTATCTAAGCACACTACATTTTACCATCAATGCATGGGTAACATTGATTTCTTGGTCAATAAACATTCGCGTCCGAATATTTATTTGTCAGCAAACTTGGTATGGTTTACGTTATTTTGCTATGTAATTCATGCGAAATAAATTGTGCTATCGTAATGTGCGTAAATTGATTCTTCAATCGACAAGGCAAAAAAAAAATTAAATAAATATAAAAATGTCTCTTTTATTATTTTTTACATCGGCCGAACATTTTGTTGTTAGGGCTCGTAATAGGAGTAGTCTAATTCAATTCCCTCCACTCATGTAAAAAAAATTTCTTCTTCTGGAATATTTTATTGTTATATCTATTTGCGTTATAAGATAAAAAATAAAAACATTATTTTTTCTATTTCGTTCTGCAAAATACCTATTACCACACTTAATTGTTACATAATATACCATTTCCGCCATATTTGCAGAGCGATACCTCCCTAGTGATTGGTGTTTGACCCAAAATCTATATAACAAACTACCCTTTTGTTTAAACAAGAAATTGTCCGTGTAAGTATTTTTTTGTTTTGAAACACCCTATATAAACCATTTAATATTGTTGTTATTATTTTATAAAATTAAGAAATTTGAATGATAGAATATTAGAACTGGAATTAATTAAAATAGTCTTTTTGGCTATCTTGCCTCATGTCAGAAATGCCTTTCATGGAAATATAATTGATGTCCCAAAACAAAAACTTTGGTTATTAAGCAGTCGCTCCGCTCGTGTCAAATCAAATTCGTAACTAAAGAACAATTATAATTATTAGGTAACATGACTAGTTATAGTTGTCTACAATTTTCAAGCTTGTTTTTAAATTAATTTCAAATTAAGTGAAAATTTTTACTAGATTTTGGTATAGTATACGTTTTTGTATAAATCATTCTTGAAAAGGTTTACATGCTGGTATGCTTTTGGCTAAAAATTTATTACGATGGATCCCGAGATTCAGAACTATTTTGTAAGAATTTTCTTTTTCTCGTTTTTCTCTTAGTGTGGGTATGCCTATTGAAAATTATAGGTAAATGTGGTAATTAAACTGTGACTTTTCCTCTAGCTTATAAAATAAACTTACCAAAACATTTGTAAAATTTTTAAAAACATCGGATTGGTGAATTTTTAAAAGGTAAGGTAGATTAAATAAAATAAGGTCCAATAAATTTTTAGCTGATCACGTAAACTTTTTCTGGGTAAAAAGTTGTATAAGAAAAGAAAGCTTTTAGATTAGTTATCAAATAAAACAGACACCATAAAAATTTCATCATGTAAATCAGAAGAGAAACTGGGTGGGGAAATACTGTTTCACAAAAAAGTAGCACTTATATTGCTAAACTAGTATATTTATAGCTAAATAAGATACCCCATAACAATGCCGAAAATGTGTGTAGTATACAATTTTCTGATTTTTTATTTATAGAGCTTTCAAAATGCCAAAATAAACTATTACATCACTATTATTTGACATTTAAAAAGGTCATTATTTTACTTCTGCATATCGTCCTCAATAAGTTTAAATAAACATCAGTTCCACATTTGTTTGTTGTTATATTTAATATTTAAATATTACTAACAAATAATAAATTAATTCTTAGCAAGTTGTATTGCGATTGTAGAGCATTAAACCACCAAACACCGTTTTTTTCTGAGGGAGGATGTAGGAAAATAAAATTCCATTTTTAAAGAGTGAAACTTTATTCATATTGTAGAAATATACTCATACTTATAAGGTCGAAAAACGTGTCTCCGCAAAGTCGGTAAAAACTTGCAGTTACGTTACGGCTCCCCCTTTCAGCAGACCAGCCGGTACGAAATATAACGGCCTGCCGTTTCCGACGGACGAATAATCTTGACCACCTGCAAAAGGTAATAACGCATTAATTATATAATCGTCCAGTGACTACTAGTTATAGGGAACTATTTATTTTTTGCTATATAATATTGGCGTTGTCGAGCGCATTCAGTACTGCCAAAAAGGTCAGTAATGGATACTTATAGAAAAATCTTAAAGCATACTTGCTGACATTTCGCCAATCATCCTGTTGACTTCTTCAGAGCTTGACTGAAACTGGCTGGTACTTTACTCTGTACCTGTCCCATATTGGTGACAGGTAAAGACCTGAGTCGCGGTTAAGATTGTTAGGTTGTTTATATATTTCTATAGACTCTCGGATTTTTCGTTGGTAGAAAAACTGATTACATGCAAGAATTTTATTTGATAAAACTAAAACTCTTGCATGTAATCAGTTCTACCAACAAAAAATCTGAGAGTCTATAGAAATCTATGAACAACCTAACAATCTTAACCGCGACTCAGGTCTCTACCTGTCACCAATTTGGGAATCAGTCATCCGAGACGGTGTTTATACTTAGCCCCCCCCACCCCCTCAAACAATAAATAAGCAGGTACAGAGTAAAATACAAGTCAGTTTCAGTCAAGTAAATTACTAAGGTCAGCTTTTGAGTTCTGGCATCAATGTGATTTTTTTGCTGGAGTTAGGCAAAAGGCTTAAAGTAGTATATGATGCAAAAAGTGCGGTAAACGGCATTTAAGTCACGAGTTTATTTTTCTACTCCCATCTGTAAAATACCTAATTATACGTCACTTTACCACGTGAGTTTCATGTTCCACGGATCCGAACCACTTCGAATATTTCCGGGATATAACAGCTAGGGTTTGAGAGCAGTCGGAGATTTTACCGCACGGCTTGAATTTCGACGTTGGTCAATTATGCCGGTCCAATCAGTGAATGTATTAGTGTTGTTTTGCAAAAATGTTCCCAAAAACTAACGGTCGTAGAAAATATATACATAATATACTATAAAACATTACTACCAAACCCATGCGGTAAAATCCCAGAAATGTCCGAAGTGGCTCGGATCCGTGGGAAATAAAACTGACGTAAAGTGACGCTTCCCGCACGCTAGATCGGTAGGTAATTGGGTATTTTACAGGCGGGCGTAGAAAATTAGTATATTATGCAACAAGTGCGGTAAACGGCATTTGACTCACGAGTTTATTTGACACGAGCGGAGCGAGTTTTTAATAAACGAGTGAGTTAAAAAGTTTACCGAACGTGTTGCATATTATACTCTTTATACGACCGACACGAATACATTCACTGACATGACCATCAGAATTGACAAACGTCAAAATCTAAGTAGTGCGATATTTTTTTTCTGCTCCCGCCTGTAAAATACCTAATTACGCACCGATCTTGTGTGCGGGTAGCGTCGGTTTACCACATCAGTTTCGTTTCCCACGAATTCGAGCCACTTCGGACATTTCCGGGATTTTACCGTCCGGATTTGGGAGCAGTCGGATGTTTTCGGCGATATCTCCCACGCCTTGAATTTTGACGTTTGTCAATTCTTACGGTCATGTCAGTGAATGTATTCGTGGTTTGCGAAAATGTACGCAAAAACTAACGGTCGTAGAAAAAGTATAGTATGCAACACGTTTGGTAAACTTTTTAAGTCACTCAAATTTTCTCACTTCAGACAGCACCAAAATAACAACTACAGTGTAAAAATAATGTAACATATGTAAAAATGGCATCAGCTAAACTAACTACAGTATAGTTAACGAGTTTACATGGCTTTGGCAAAGCACATTCTACAAAATTGTTAATTATCAGTATCTCAGTTTTAGGGATAGGGGGATATATTCCTTGTAAGAGTAAAAGCTCAAATAAGTCAAATATTTCATTTTTGTTAGTTATGGGAGTTTGGCTTAAGACAGCAGTGTAGGTATAATTTAACGAATAAAATTCCCTCCCTACTTTAAAATGCTCAATTAGATACCCATCAAGTGCGCGGAAAGTGTCACTTTAAGAGGTCAGCTTCGTTACCCATGACTGGTTCCCTAGATTTTAGACACAAATGGTATTTTGACCTTTGTAAATTATGAGTCACATTACATGTCACTCAGTAAGTGTATTTGTGCAGTTTTGCAAAAATATTCCCAATAATTTGGTACATTAGAATAATAATAAACCAGAGCTTCTAGATCTACAGTCACTTCAGATGATTCCGGTATTTTAGTCACGGGTTTGGAACAGATTTGATGTTTTCATGTCCTGTCAAATAGAGATTTAACATTTATGCTCCTTTCTTGTTATAATTATATATGAAATTTACTATGTAATGGAAAGTTCAGAAAAAGAGTTAAGTGTGAGTTTTGAAATAATTCGCATATGCACATATTAAATGCGCTTCTCAGCATATTTTATGTGTTTAAAAGTGCCTGTATTATCAGCATAAGCATAATATGATCAAACTTATTGAAAATTAAGTAAGAATTTAATATAGTTGTAATACATTTTCAAACCTATATGAATGTATATAGCCATTTTTTATTGCAACTTACTTGTCCCCGTTTTAATCCAAAATATCTGGCCACTGGATCTCCTGCTTGAATTCTCATAAGCATGTTTTCTTTTAATTTATATCTAGCCAACAACTCCTGTTTTTCTTCTGGATTCATTACTACATGTTCTGGAACCAGTTCATGTTCTGTAATATTAATTAGCAATTCTGATTCCAAAAACTGTTCCAAAATATATTTTGGTGCCATGTCGACCAATGATTGTTTAGCTGAAGGTGTCATTCCAGCTTGGACAACAATAATAGCTCTATGAATATTTTCATCTTGCATCCTCTGGCAGTAAGTTTTAATAGTCTTTATACCAATTTTAGGCTCATCAGGAAAAAAAACAAACATCTGATCTGTTGGGTCATCATTATGGGCAACTAGCAGAATTAAATCGCTTCTCGATGGTCTTTTTTCACTAAAATATATGGTTTTATGTTTGCATTAAAATTTTGAATATATTATGGAAATAATACCTTGGTTTATCTCCAAAAAGTTCTTTAAATTGTTCTAAAGTCTGATCCAATTCATCCTGTGTAACCAAATAACCTCGATCGTGACACAACTGCATCACGGTTTTTCTAATTCGCCATAATTTATAAGTTTCAGCTTCATCATCCATGTTATGAAAATTAAATATTTACAAAGTATACCACTAGAAAACTATACCCTATTCCGTTTTTTTGCTGCTATTGATTAGGACTGCAAGGATCTTTATGCCGATTATACTTGGTTCTTCTTCTTTTACTTCTGTTGGCCTAGATTGCTAGGATCATTCGGCCATTTTCTGGGTAAATGATGTGGAAGGGTGCCCTAGTTAAAAGGGACTGGGGAATTGATATTGAAACCCTTGAAATGTATTTTACTTGGCTTGGCTTGGCTTCTTTCTGTTTTCCAGAAAACGAATCATATCATTTTAAATTACAGCATTTTTTGTATTAAAGTCTTGGCCAAGGCAAAGTGCCTAGAAGGCGCAGTCGACATAACCGCAACTTTAAGGTAACTATTTGGTTTTGTGTTTGAACACATTTGATTAACAAAATGCCTTTCATGAAAGGCGTGTCTCCCTTGAGGAGAACACTCAAATATCTTGAAGCGGGAAGATTATATCTAAAGGATCAAATTAAAATAATGACCATCAACTACAACGTTAGTGGCGACCATCACTCAGGCGCCAGAGAATTCGTATTTTGGTATGTGCCTCAGATTCAGTATAAAAATCCTGATGTTCAAATATCATTACTGAAAAATATGACGCCAACACCTTTCATTCGTTGCTTTTATGATACTGGTGATCATATGCTTATTGACATTGATAGTAAAATGAAAGATGAGATATATCAACATTTAGTCAATGTTGTTGGAAAGTCCAAAGAGGTTCTCGAATCCGAAAGAATCGCTAAGGAGAAAAAAGATAATCCAGCAAATTTTGGTTATGGTTGTGAAAAACATTGTATGTGTGAATTTCCTATCCAAGTGTCATGTCCTGCAGTTTGCCCACTTCCAAAACATTGGAGAGGAAAATATAAATATAAAAAAGTAGAGGATTAAATTAATCAAGATATCAAAATATTCCATTAATTTATGGGAAATTTATTTTTATTATTATTTCATTTCATTGTTTAGAATATTTGTTGACAATGTATTTATTACCAAATAAAGAAATGCTGCACCTAGTGATTGTTATTAGTGATGGATTTTGGCGATCTCAAGTATGAACGGAGGTAGAAATAAATAATTTAAATTAAAAAACGTTTTTATTATTTATTCCTCAGGTATGTCAATTGAGTTTTCATTAACTTCATCTATGACATCATGTGGAGCTTTTCCATCAACTGTACATCCCACAGACTGAGCGGTACCCAAAACCTCCTTGACTGTACCTGACAGACTCTTGGCCATAGACCTTGGCCTCATTTGCCTGGCTATGGCAATAATGTCATCAAAGCTTATATTTCCGCTATGCTTGACTGTAAACAATTAAAATTTTAGTATTTCTAATTTATTGGAAAAGTTCCTTTCATTTTTTTTACAGGACATTCAATTAGTTTTATCCACGTATATCTATTCCCAGTAGTAACACACTTAGTATTTCGTAAGCATGGGTTGCAAATAAGGAATAGTTAATGTTGCATCAGATGTTCTCAACAAATTATCGTGCAATTATGTCAAGTATGTTCATCCAATGCGGGAAATACAAAATGAACAAGTTCTTACTATTCTTTTGCTTCTTTCTGTCACGTGGCGGTTCCTTAAGAGCTTTAATGATCAATGATGCCGCAGATGGGACCACTGAAATGGTAGCTTGCCTATTCTGAATTTTAAGCTGAACAGTAATTTTAAGTCCCTTCCAATCAGCTGTTCCTTTAGCTATATCATCACCCACTTTTTTGGGAGACTAGAAATATACAAATCAAAAACACAGTGCACATTTAGTTGAAAAAAAAAAATCGGGATTTATAACGACCATTACAAATTAAATGGAAATTTGGTGGTTACTGTATGGAACCGATTTCAAAAAAACTTACTAAGCCCAAAGGACCAATTTTTGGGGCTAAAGAGGAAGTCGCTCCCACTTCACCTCCGACGCATCTGAGGTACACTAAAAAATAAGGAAATAATTATTCTCTAATGAATGTTCACCTTGTGAATATGTGGAATTATCTAACAAAAACCTAAATAAACTTTCAATTACTTTTAATAACCCACCATATTTTATTTCTGTTGGATCGAACTTTGGGGGCATTTTGTTGCGATTTTATGTCAAATTAATTAAAAAAGTAGCTAAATTTTGTGGATGATTGCAGATTTATAAAAAAATATATTCCTTTAACTACAACCAATCCGTCAAAAAGGATTTCATACTTCTTCTTCTTCGATTAGTCACTTCCTCCTTGTAATTTTTCTATAGGCCGTGGACGAGTAGTATTCACCCATTATTAGATTATTAAAAAACTTGATTAGAAATTAAAAAATTGAAACGCAAACTATCTAAGCGTAAAAAAATGTTTGATATAATTCATGTAGCTTCAAAATGTGATAAAATAAAAAAAGTATTCTCTATCCTTTCACAGATCATTTGAAATAGTAGTGTTCTGTGTTGTTTTGTTAAAAAATGTCATGCAAAGCATTGATTGACTGTGCTATGGTGCAAGAACACTTGGTGGATTTTCATGAAAAATATATCGATGAGCGATAGGAAATTCAAATGTTGCTAAATTACAGGAAAGTTAAAATTGCAGTTAATTGAGGATATAGTTTAAGAATGAAAAGATTGCCACTGTTGATGTATGGTTTTTATTATCATGAATTCTTCTGTAAACCTTGGAGTGGTTGTTCAGTATAGTGGAGGCTTACACTGCAGTAAAGATGCACTTACGGACATGTTTGGATGGTTTCTTCAGATTCTTTTAGCTGGCCTTGCTTTTACTTGTCTTGTTGCCAAAAGATTTTGTGAACCACGAGCATACCGTCGGTCATGGCAAATTTGGTTTTATGATACTTCAAAACAGGGATTAGGGGCTATGGCTATTCATTTGGCTAATGTTTGGCTTGCTGGACAGTATACTGGGGATCCATGCACCTGGTACCTCATTAACTTTCTCTTAGGTACATTTTCAAGTTAGTTAGTAATTAAGGTACCTATTATTTAGTAACATTTTCAAGTTTTGTGTTTTGTGAAGTTTTTTACCTTTGCCAGTAAATTATATTATAAGGCAATATTGCAAAGAGTAAACATGTTTAAATTCTAGTCATGTAGAATTTATTTTACATCAGACCTGATCAGATTGTATTATAATTTTTTCCTTCTTTAATTCCATTATTTAAGAGTTTAAATTTGGTGGCATATGACCAATCAGTTTTAGAACAATTTAACAAAGTGGTTGACAAAATCAAAGTTAATATTGTAAGAGTTTTACTTTATGCATATGTATGCTTTTTGGGTGTCCGTATATTGCACCTTAGTATGATATATGCTGTAACATATCCTATAATATATATTTTCCAATATAATTATTTTTGTTGTAGACTCAACCATAGGCTTAGTCATAATCTTTATTGGAATTCGAACTAGTCAGTATCTTGCAAGGAGGAAGGGTTGGGAAGCTATTAATTTTGGAGAATATGGCAAACCACCAAACATGAATGCTTGGTTAGCTCAGTGTAGTCTATATGTTGGGCTTATGTTTATCGTAAAAGTTTCAATTACACTGTTCATGCAACTGGATTTCTGGGAGAATGTGAAAAATTTTATTTTATCACCAATTCCCAATCCTAAGTTGGAATTGGCTTTTGTGATGCTAATTATTCCATTTTTTGTAAATGTGAGTATAGTTAATGTCAATAATCATGAACCAAACATATCTATGCAAAAAATAATCAAATTTAGAATATTTCATTAGCAGGGCAGAACATATACAAGAGGGATTTTTTGAAATATCTGTCCCTTCTCTGATAAATTCTTACAGTTTGAATGGCAACCAACTCAACCATCGAAGATGAGCGGACATCTTTAAGAAATCCCTCTCTTGTTGACCTTTTTTAAAGTAAAAATGTGGGTTCACATTGTAACAATCCATACCCGCATCAAAATAAAGATTTAAATAACGAGTTAAGAATAAACATTTTATTAACACAATCCTGTATTTATATATATGTTATGATATATATGATGTTTTAAACTTAATTTAATATTTAAGGGTAAGATTGTATCATATTTTATTAATTTGCAGATGTTGATGTTCTGGGTTACAGACAATTTCTTAATGTACAGAGAACCACTTAGAAGACGTAGGATTAGTTCAGAAGAGAGTCTTCTTCAGAAAGCTAAAGTTAAATATCGTAATTTTCGTAAGAAAAAACTTGATTCTGACTGTGATGTATTACTATCGGCTGATGATGAATTGTTGGATTCCGAGGTCATACCAATTGTCAGAGGTAGCATTTTGGCCTAAACATTCCACTGACTAAATTAAAGTTGACTATGAAGGCCGCAAACATGGTTTTATATTACATGTTTGAGAATTAATATCCCATTTTTTGCATTTCCATAGTGCTTTAGAAATATAAAAATATTTAATATAACCCATAAGGTTTAAAGAATTATATAATAATAACAAAACAAAATATTTTGGGTGCGAGCTACTCTATACTAGTTATTACAAAGGATGTGCCTATTATGTATATAAAATGTCTAGATCGGCTAAAAGATTTAGCAAAAGAAATAGATTTTATGAGGTATAAAATGGCATATAGGTTGATGCTTGGCAGATGAAGTAGAACGGTTACGCAGTAACATAACATCACCTGCTATGAGCCGAGTTTAATAAGAGCCAATGGATAAAAAACCACATTATATTTCTTCTTGGTCTTGTCAGAGTTTTTTAGAGAATTCTGACGGCACGCAGTGCTACGCCTGCCACATTTTGAGATTTACTATTGTGATTTTTTTTATAGGTTACGATTAACATAAAGGTTACCTTATCCATTAAGAAAATTTTAATAGAATTTAAGTGAAAACTATGGAAGTCTTTAATAATATTTTTTAAACCTACTCCTAGAGGTGCTAGAGGTTTTTAACAATCCTTCATAATCTCAATTACTCTTAGATGCTAAATTATTTTAAACGATGTTATGATATTATCATCTGTCATTTTTTTTCCACCCATTTTTTAAATAATGCCGACCTCATTAAACATTTTACGAATTTATGTTCATGAAAATGACACGGCTTTATTGATTTATCTCCTTATATGATAAAATGGCTTAGACTTGAAGTACACAATTACGTTTTTTGAAACAGAGCCTCTGAACTCCAAATTGAAACGGGCACTAAAAGAAATTCTAATGCTTCCCATAGAAATAAAAAAAAGCAATTCGAGCAACCTGTTTTTGAAATTTTTTATACTATCTACGTATTAAAAATTTTTTGTCCAATTGCAAAAAATTGGCTATAGAACATTAAATTTTTAAGTGGTAAGTAGAGTAAAAATGGCACTAAAAATAACAATTATGTATTTATTTCATTACAAGTAATGAAATTTAATTCAAATAGTTTTTCTGTCTTATTTCTGGCGTAAATATAGTTGTTTAGTATAATTTATTTTATTATGTGTACCAAATATACCAAGGTTGTATTTAGCTTGTTAAGTTGCTAAGTTGTAAAATAATAAAACAATATATTTTTAGTATTATATTTATTATATCTCATATACCAGATATTCCATGGCTGTTTCTAGCTTATTACCTTCATTTGTAAAGTAATAAAACTCAAAATTTTTAGTGATATCTTTATTATATCTCAAGAGGTGAGTTAGTTATTTTACAACATGTGTTAATAAAAAATAGATATTTACAGACTAAGTCATTTGTAAGTTCAAAACAATTTGTTTTATTATTTTAATAACTACATACATATACCAGCTCGCACAGGCGAAAAATTTAAACGTAAATAAATGGTAAATTAGTCTAATAGAGTCCAGCAATAAGCGAGTCACAAGGATTTCTGGCGAATAAAAGGAAAAACTGAGAAGTATAAATAATATATGAGTTTTATTCATGTAGTTATAGACCTTAAATGAATAAATAATTTTCCATTATTGAGTTGTGGACTTGGCATGAAATGTTTGCAAATTGTATTTAAAACAAACACATATAAGAAAAGTTAAAATAACATATAATTTAAAAAAAAAGTGTGTCACTTTATGAAGAGGAGAGGAGAGAACAGTATTTAACATATCTCATTCTACGGTACATATAAAAATGTTCTATGAACTTCAATTTTTGAAAACATTAATGCAACAGTGCCTACAGCTGTAGGTTATCAAAATTATTTAATTTTTATTTTATTTATACTTCGTGACTCTTAATGCTATTGCGTAATAAATTATTTTGTGATTTCGTGAAATTTTGTCAATACACATTTGAACAAGATAAAACAGTCTTAGGGAAATGCTCATACATACATAATATTTAATATTATGGTTTGATATTTAAAGTTATATTAATGTGGTAACTCAAGTCAAGTAACTGCTGTTTTAACAGTTTTTGGAAATAAATGCTTGGAATTTTTAAAAAAGCTAGTTATGTCTAATTCCGGTTTTATTTAATACCCATTGTGACCATAAAAACGACCTAATTTCTATAAATATTGGTAGTAATAAGGACTAGAAAACCTGTGATATTTTTGTGAGATAAAGATGTAAATATGATTTTTAATTTAATTTATAGATCTTATTTTTTTACTTCAATTTGCAAGATTATTTCTATTAAAGCTGCGTCCAACAGCAGCTCTAGACGTGACACTAAATTAAGAAAAAAAAAATCAAACTGAGAGAGTAAGTTTCTCATTTTTTCATCAATAAAGAGGTTTTAAGTCTTTATATATATATATATATATATATATATATATATATATATATATATATATATATATATATATATATATATATATATATATATATATATATATATATATGGTACTATTTGGGAATGGTATAATAAGAAAACGGTATATTTTGCAGCACAAAATTTGCTTATAAACTTGTACAATGGTATCAATCAATCATTGACGTTTAACCACAGGAGAAACCTGTTTATTTCTTTAAATCTGTTTCACTATTATCCATCCAGTTTTCTCTTAGCCCTTGAAAAAAAATGTTAAACTTAAAATTAGAAGAATCACTTGTGCAGGTATTTAACTTAAGAACCTGCAAATTGAAAAGGTGAAAAATAAAAAAAACATTTTTAAAAATCCGGCGCTGATATTTGTTAAGTTGCGTTTTCATCTATTATATATTTGTTAGTGGTTAGATTAGGTATTGTCAAGCCAAGGTATTTATGAATGACTCCTTGTGTCTCTCGTATGGTTTAACGTCTTTGGTTATAACATTAATTCAAAATAACACAATTTACTCCTAGGATTTGTTTTCCTATTTCTTATTTCCCGGTTAATTGTCTTACACGCTCACCCTATTGCACACATCAGTCTCTCTGATTTTTGTTATAATCCACATAAACCCTAACCACCTCTCCTGAGTATTTCCTCTGCGAAGGCATAAAATAAAAATCGGCGGGCATTTGACCCCCCTTCGTAGGTCCGACAGTATGCCTATCGAAGGTCGTTCTGGGCAACGAAAACGTCGACCGGTCAGTGGGAGGAGCATAATTTGTGCTCCTCGGTCTTTGCAACGATCTCGAATCGCCAGGTGGCGCTTGGGGAGGAACGCTTGGTGGTCGTCCCTGCGGTCTTGGTGGATTACTGCGAGGACGGGTTGCAGGAGCCCTGCCGTTATTGCCGTGTCCATTTACTGGATTTTTCGTTTCTTCGGGCTCAAAAGCATCAAATGCATAGTTTGTATTAGCTGAATAATCCTTCCAGGCGGAATTAGGGATTAGGTGGTCCTGGAATATAAACAAAAATATTGACTAGATTTTCTGTTTTAGACTTAAAAATAGTTATACTCTAAAGTGCTTCCCAGTTTTTTATGGTTTTAGGGCGTACCTCCCCTATTAACCAAGGCAACTTTTTTGTGAAATGAAAGGTGGCACAAACCTATTTTGGATTTTAAGGTACCGGGTGATTTTGGAAATTTTGCATTTTTAAACACCCTTTGTAGTTCCGTTGTGCACTAACTTCATGGAAAGGTGAAAGTGGCGAAGTCAATTTTTTTTCAGAAATTTACAAATTTGGATATAGAAATAAAACTTGTGTTTTTAAGTGGAACACCCTGTATGTCTGCAATAAGAAATACAAATTACAAATCTTTAACATATTTTTTATGAGTAGACCGTTGAATACTTATAGAGATTTCTTTTTTATATAAAGTGCATAATTTACGAAAAAAAGTTAGTTACCCGTCAAAGGAAACTTGCATGCGAGTAATATTAAATCATAATTAATATACCCTTACTATATCCTATCCCATGGGCGTTTCATTAAAAAAATAAGCTTTAAGTTCGAATATTAAAATTTGCGAGTTTCTGATCAAAACTTACGACGCCACTGGATCCTACGTGAAAATCAAATTTTATAGTATTGTTGCAATGTAAGTTGGTGTGCAACAATTTCTGATTGTTAATCATTACTCATAAATCATTGTATTTTGCTGTATATGATAACTATTTTTTTGTCAATTAACCAAACATGAAATACTGCGACAAGCTTTTGTTTTGATGGTTTGACGACCTATTAATCACTGACTTAAATAATAGTACTCACCCAGAAAAGAAATATATATTTTTAAAGATGTTTTTATTTTATAACTTTTAAGCGGCTATGCACAGCGATTATAGGCTAAAACGAGCAATTTTTCCACACTCTGAAGTCAATGGACTCACTTCCGGTTTGAGCGGGAACGACGAAACTTTGGAATCTTAATTATTTTTTTGCATTTTTGAATTGAGGTGATTATTGATTCTGTTTTATTGTTATTCAATGCGGAACAACCCTACCTGTCTTTCAAGCCGACTGGCCATGGGAAAAATTCTACATAGTTATATGCCCCAAACTGCAGAAGCCGAAAGCTAAGCGAAGATATCGCCGCGCTGACACCGCATCGAAAGCCCTATTTGTTCGATTGTCACATTGTAAAATTGCTCTTAATTATTTCAGCCTTTGTATCGGCAAGTCCGAATAAAAATAAATAAATGTTTTTAAAAACGAAAACGAACATTTAAATACATGAAACTTTTCTCCGTGTCTAATGGTAAATGTTATTTAATGTAATAAACCATTTAGTTTCATGTACTTAAATGTTCGTTTTCGTTTTTAAAAACATTTATTTATACAGAAAGCAAAATGAAAAAAATTTTTTGGATAACTTAGTTTTTGAAATAGTGGAAAAAAACGGAACAAACACTTTTTCGTAACCTTTTGAAATCACACAGGAAAGAAAAAACTAGATCAGCATCGGCAAATTGAAAATTCTGATAGTTTGTTTGAAAACTACAATTTATATAAGAGACTTCTTTGTCGACAATATACATAGCTACTTGATATATAGAGGCCCTGCATTTGCTAATAATATCTACAGGAATTAAAAAAATATATTGAGATGGGCCATACTGGCCTTTAACAATCAACAATATTTTGCTTTAAAATGTTGCAAAAAAAGTACCGGTTTTAAAGTGTCGGTCTGGTAAATAGTATTAATTGTGGTCATAGCCACTTAGATACAGTTTTCAAACATTAAATAAGAATTTTCGAAAAATAAAAATGGTTGGTAGCTAGTAGAATCCAACAATTCAAAACAATGTTAGGATCGTTGTTGCTCAAAACATAAAGTGACTTCATAGTGTTATATGTTTGACCTATATTAAGCCAACCAAATTTTAAATCGGTGCGTCAAACCGTTCCCACTTGACACAAACTTTTGGTGTTTGCAATAATACTCTTTATTATTAAAATATTAGCTAGTTGCCCCAAAGTAATTTCTAATTTAAACGATAACACTTGCACGTAATATAAGTAATAGCTATAAGAAATAGGGTCGCCATTGACTAGAGAAAGCGGAATGTACACTACAAATTTTATTCCGCGTTACCTTTGAATCGCAAAAGTAGAAGCGATTTTCACCTGTTTCGACTTGATCGGTGCATTTTTCTAAAGCTACACTTGTGTTTACATAAATCAAAGCGACCCAAATTTAATATATGGCTGTAGTTGAAAACGGAAAAGAAATCTCAAATCGTGAAAAATATTGCAAAATAAGTGTAATCTACACCTCTTCAATATGAAATTACATTTCAAAGCCTTAAATGCTTAAATCAATTCCGAGTCAACAATATTTATTCCCTTCCCTTGTTCCCTCTCGGATGTCCCGTAATAATATGGCGTTAAAAGATATTGTCAATTTGTTGTACTAAAACAAAAAACCATAATGCATATGAGTTCATATCAAATTAATATTTCGCCTATCAAAAAAATAAAATAGCAGCATTGAACGTTTGTGACTAAAAAAATCTTATATAAAGAAACATTGAAAAAAATTGCTGCCGCATAATACGTTTGTAACTTGAAACGCGTTTAGAAATTAACATTTATTGACTTTTTTTTTAAATAATGTGTATTTATTTTCAAATTTCATACTTTCGGATGAAAAAAACTTTAGGAAGAAGATTTAAATGGAGTTTTTGTCCAAAAACGTAAATCTTTTATTCGCAATTCCAAAAATATCTTGTAATATCAACTGCCTAATAAATTTTAACCATAACTAAGAACGTTTTCTAACTTAAAAACGATTATAGAGAAACACCTAATTTGATTTTTTTTTCAAATTTAATATTTTTTGGAAGCAAAAAAAACACGTTAAAAACTAACTTTAAAAAAAACTAACCAATAAAGATGTTTTAGCTGTCAATTTATATGCAATTAATATTTAGCAGTTCCAAAAAAAATTACAACGGCCTAATAAATTTTGACCATAAAAAAGAATTTTTGTAACTTGGAAAACGTATGTAAATAAACATTGGAATTAACTGGATTTTTTTACTGTAATGTGTATGTTGAGTGTATGTATGTGTATATTTAATACTTTTTGAAAGAAAAAAGTTTAAATGGAGTAGTTATCAAGTTTTTTATTGCAATGGGTGCAGCAATGTTCACAGAAAAGCGACCGTTTTCGTTTCATTTCAACTGCCGCCACATTTTTATCAAATTTTTTATGGTATACCAATGTCCGCCGTAACCAGTTTTCTACTCCCACAACACAAAATTGATGTCGACGTACTTGCTTCGGCGCCCTTTGAGGCGGCACGTACAATCACAGTGACGTTACCTTGTGACTGTTGGCATTGCCACGTCCCATCGCCCTGTAAACGGTACATCCCGCTTGGACTAGTGCAACAAATACCAGGGCACCAATGCATCCTAGAACTATGTAGAACTTAGTGGATGATAAATCGAAGAAACCGCCCGATTGGTCGGAAGTGGAAGAGTCTGGCACGATGTTTGATGTCACTAAAAAAAAATCAGAACGTACAGTGTGTGTGGTCTCTTAGAATTGAATGCATCAAAATTTTAATATTATTTTTTTGGGAAAGCTGATTAAGCTATTAATCTCAAAATGGAATTTTGTCGGATCGCAGAGACGCAGGAGATGCGAGGTCACAAACTTTGATTGTGGATAATTTTTCAAATACGCACAGTGTGTGGCAGTTATTCGCAAAATAGGAAATTAGGGAATAACTGAAGCTGCGAGCTGAATTTGGTAAACGCGCACGTTGCGTTTTCTATATGCAAAAGTGGTTGTCTTATAACACCAGAAGATATGATTAATTTTTCAAAGAAACTTCCACAGGCTACTGTAATACTTTTTACAAAACATCCGGATTCCTCCTGCGTGGGTTTATTTGTCTTAATCGTAAGGCCCTTTCGTGTTCTTTGAGTCTAGTTGATATTTTTCGTCCGATCTCTCCAATGTATGCTTTGCCGCATATGCATGGAATGCTGTAAACTCCTGGCATCTCAAATGGAATTTTTTCTTTGACGGACCGAAGATATTGGTACTTTTTGTCTAAGAAAATATACTAGGGTTTCTTGACCATGAGGCCAAATAACAAAAGTGTCATCGAGGTAGCGTTTCCATAATTTTGGTTTTAGATGAAAGGTGTCGAGAGTTTTCTTCTCAAAGGCTTCCATTAATATATTCGCAATGACTGGTGATAGTGGAGAACCCATAGCTGTTCCCGACGTTTACAGCCCGAGTCACTGAACCCAGAATTAAAATACCTTACCTCTGCTCTTCTCTCTAATAATTTCCACATTAAAGATATATATATATATATATATATATATATATATATATATATATATATATATATATATATATATATATATATATATATATATATATATATATATATATATATATATATATATATATATATTTTCACGTATTGATTCACGGATGGAAAAATGTGATGACACTATATTCCGGGATAACATCCGTTCGCTTGTTGAACTCCGACTAGAATCCTGCAGACGTTTCGCCAAAATCTTACTTGGCATCTTCAATGCTCGCGCTCCGAAAGTGTTCGAAGTGTTTTCGGAGCGCGAGCATTGAAGATGCCAAGTAAGGTTTTGGCGAAACGTCTGCAGGATTCCAGTCGGAGTTTAACAAGCGAACGGATGATATCCCGGAATATAGTGTCATCATATATATATATATATATATATATATATATATATATATATATATATATATATATATATATATATATATATATATATATATATATATATATATATATATATATATATATATATATATATCCATCAGCCACAACCTTCCAATAGCAATAAGGCCGAAAACAATGCTACATTTGCCACTGTGGTCCTTCCTTACGTTCAAAACATCACTGACCACATATCTAAAGAAGTATAACGTCAAAACCAGATTTACCACTTGTCCAAAAATCTCTCAACATCTTCGGTCCGTCAAAGACAAAATTCCATTTGAGATGCCAGGAGTTTAGAGCAAAGAATACATTGGAGAAACCGGACGAAAAATATCAACTAGATTCAAAGAACACGAAAGAGCCTTTCGACTAAGACAAATAAACTCATCAGCTGTTGCGGATAAAACTAAAATTCATACATGTAATCAGTTCTTCTACCAACGAAAAATCCGAGAGTTTATAGAAATCTATAAACAACCTAACAATCTTAACCGCGCCTCAGGTATCTACCTGTCACCAATAAGGGAAATCAGTCATCCGGGACGGTGTTTATGCCCCTCATTTGGCTGTGCCTCCCTCAAACTATATATACAACAATATATACAGAGTAAAATACGAGCCAGTCAAGCTCTGAAGAAGCCAACAGGATGATTTGTGAAAAGTACCAGAAGATATGGTAAAATGTTCATATTGGACTATGATGAATTTACTAATTTTTTAGCAGCTAAATCCCCAACCTTACCTAAAATTAGCGCTTACGATATAAGTGTTCTAATTTCTATATTCGGAATATATTGTGGCTGGTGGATATACCAAATTAACTTTTGAAAAGAAAAAAACATGCAGTTATTTAAAAATGAAAATGGAATTATTATAACGTGTGTGTATAAAGGTGCTCTGTCCAACATTCGAATCTTGGAGCACGATTAATACTGGGGGTATTTGGGAAGGTTACTTACAACTCTGAGGTTCAAATACCAAATATTGGGGATCGACTTTTAGATTGCCAATTCTCCCCGATCCGACGCTGTCTTGAATCACTTTATGTACGTTTTCTTCGGTATATTCTATATGTTTTTCTAACGACGTCCCCTTGTCCGGTTCGCGCGAAAATTGAAGATTCATTAGTGCCACTATGTTATTATGGTCACTGAAAAAAAATAATTTCGGTAAAAGTTAAAACCTTCTGAAAGAGTGTTTATGTATGTACTTCTGAACAAGACTAGTCAACCGTTTTTTGATAAAAAACTATATTTTTAAATTATTTTCTTTATCTTTATCTTTATTGAATAATTGGCTTCCATCTTTTCTGTTTCAAATCTTGATAAAAATACGATAATATTAAAACATTTAGAATATGAGAGTTAATTAATTAAATAAATCTACTAAGAATTGGACGTATTAACGTTAAACTTAAATTAAAAATTCATAAATATTGCGTTGCGGCTCACTCTGTCAATTCTTGCACGGATAGTCTTCTATATCCCTTAAGTTTTCTAAACACTGGTTCGATGTTGTTGACAATATTGCTGGATAAATCTTCATATTCGATTGTCCCGTGTTTCGGCGCAACGAAGTTTTCGCCCAATTCAATAAGCTTTACTTTAATGTTGTAGTCCAAACCGGGAGCTTCAGTAGTTGTTTGATATTCGTATATATCATCTGTATGAAAATGAACATATAGAAACGTCGATTGATCTAGTAGGTTAAATAATTTGACAGAACGTCTAGCATTTATCCAAGGGTATGCCGATGAAGGTAATTTTTTGAACTGAAAACACTGTGTAGTTTTGGTTAGTTTTTGTGATTTTAGAGCTGCTGTTCTTGCAGTTCCTTTGTATCTCCGCTTGCACATTTCATTGTTAAGAAATCCCAGTAAATAAAGAACTAGATGAGTTAAATCTGGAAACCACGGAGACCAACGGAAGGCATTGGTGTCAGTTCTATTTTTTTGCTATTACTCACTTGGTTCTTTCAAGTTTTTGTTAACGTTTTTCCATGAAAATAATAATGAATAAAAAACGAAGAATTTTTAAATTGACCAACGAATTCGCATATAATATTTAAAGTTCGAGGTTCACATGCACAATTGAGAGACATTTCAAACTATGTTTAAAGGTATTTAATTGTTTCCGTAAAAAAAAAGTAAATCGACGTATCCAATGATATAAAAGCCCTTTCAAAAACATTTTTTGTAGACCTCGTAAACGTGAATTTTTTTTGTTATATTAATTGGCTTACATGTTTCTTTATTTAACAGAAACTATGGCTTCAATAATAAAATAAGTTACCAATATTGTACATTTAAATTGAAACACTCCGATTCACTTTTAGATAAATTAGATTAATTGAAATATTGGAATCACATAATACATGAAAACTTACCATTTCCACATGATTTAATACAAACTCTTTCGGTACTGACAATTGGAACTTGTTCGTGCTTCCTAATTTTCTTATTTACACTGTTAAAGGCCCCACCTCTGACGGGGAACATCATGAAAAGACACTTTTCGTTTGTGAAATCTAAGTCCCTGTGATCTTTTGTTATTCTTTTTCGTGAAAACGACAATGTAGTTACCCCATCAACAATTTTGCCTAAAAACGTTTAATATTTCGCTGGAGAGCTATATAATTCCTAACAGAATTTTTACCACTGGCATTATAAACATTTTGACTTCTATCCAGGGACGGCTGAGTGTAGCCGGTAATCCAGGTGTCCATTAAGAAGGGCCTACCAGATTGATCCACCCACCCTAATATAGCATCGGTTTGCGACATTTTTTCATTATCTGAAAATGCAATTCCCGTCCATGTATCGGTGTGATTTGTCGTTATCGTAAATCTATAAACAAGTTAAAAAATAGTTTTTAATATTTAAAATAAAAATAAAAGTTAATAAGTGTAGGATTGTTTATCGTTAGTCTAAGGTTCTGAGGAAATAAACACAGCCCGACGTTCTGGCAAATTAAATAAGGGTATATTTTCATTTATTTACACAGCGCACAACAACTTCTTTTACACTTCTCATGGACAACAACAATTCGTCTATCCGTCTTTCGTCAAACAATTCGTCTACTCGTCTTTCGTCTTATTAAAAAAAAGAGTAAGTGGTACGGCTTTCCGCGTTACCCACGTGTTTTGCGTCTTTTTAGTTTAATCGTCTAATACATAACGCCCCTCGTCAAATAACGTGACCTGCTTTTAAACCCTTCGTCGGTACGCATCAAGAGTAGATCCGAACTCTCAGAAAACACCGCAAAGCGGCTTGCTTTTGTGATCGGCTCACGTCCGTTAAAAGAAATAATGTAAACATAACCCTTTGTAATTGCATGCAGAAATAATAAATAAATACCGCGTTGGCGAAAACTAAACTAAAGGATATATTTTATCTACATAAGGTCACCACATACTTAGTTTTCAAGACGTATTTAGATTAATCACCTATTTTTAGTTTTATTTACGAAATGCTCAAGCAAGTACATCTTTTGGTAATTTTCAACAATTTCTTTTTTAATGCACTGGTCGTATTTTAGTTTAAAAGTAATATTTTATTTGGGTTAGTTCAAACTTCAAAACTTCAAAAAATTCCCTCACAGCTAAGCAAAAATACGTCACAAAATTGAAGGTTTTATGAAAAAACCTACGAAGTCTAGAAAATAATTTATAAGAATGTTACACGTGCTTCGCCCACACGGTTCTCATCTGATCTATATATGAAAATTATATCGGCTCAAAATTTAGAACCAAACCAAAATCAAATTGCATTGACTTTAGTAACGGACTGAGATCTATCGGATTTTTTTGGTAGACAGTAAAAGCACTGCTGGTATTTTGACGTTTATTAGTTCTTATGTATCTGCATGCGTTCTGCATTCATCACGTTACTCAGCGAATGTATTTTCGCGATGGACGTAGGTAAACTAAGTTATTTAAGTATGCGACACGTTTACAAACTTCTTCACACACTCGTCCATTAAACACTCACTATACTCGTACCGAAACAAACTAGTGACTAAAAGAAAGGTTTATAAAAATTGGTGCATAATATATTACTCTAATTTGGAGAATATTCATTAATTTTTTTTACTTGAGCGTTTTAAATTTTGTAGGTGCATATATTACTAAACTTATGTTACAATATTTAATTCTATTGCACAACTTGCACAATATTCGTACGTGCCATGATTATGTAAAAAAGCGATAAATACTAAGCAGAAGCTCCTTGAGCAGTAATTTTTAAGATGTCTTTTAAAACAGGATAATTATTTATTTATTACTTTTTTTTAATATTCACCGCTGATGGCGTCATTTCGCTCACATAGATGACGCAACAGATAAAAAGATGCTTTGATTGTATTTCCACATTGTTCATTAATAATAAAATTCTGCCTATATAAAAATTAAAAATAAGTCTTTCTTCTCCCTTCTGTAGAATACCTAATTAAACATCGATCCAGCATGCGAAAAGTGTCATCCGAGCCACTTCGGATATTTCCCCGAAACAATCGGATGTTTTCGGAGATATGACCGCGCTGACGGTCATGTCAGTGAATGTATTCGTGTTGTTGTGCAAAAATGTACCACACTTGATGCATAATTTACTATTTTTATCAAGCTATTAGTTTAGGGATGGACAATTTACTGTGCGGTTCCAGGTTGCTATTATGTACATACCTAATTTCGTCTTTTCTGGGAATCAGTTCCCATTTTGCCGAATATTCGCATGTGTAATTTTCAGGTCGGCAACCTTTGGGAATTTTCCACTCGCCACCGCAGTGGGTATTTTGAGCGCTGTCGCTGGTGGCAGCTGCTCCGGCCGGGGCAATTGCTTTTTTCTCATCTGAAAAATTGCACGCAATTTGCAAAGTTTAATATAAAAATTTTGTTTGTTTTGTTTTGTTATTTGTTTTATTATATTTTTTCTGTAAAACGAAATGTTGGATTTAGAAGAGAATAACAATAGAATAAAGCAGAAAAAGTGGCAAAGCAAAAGTGCATTACTACATAACCCTCTTCAAATATTGTTTAGAATATATATACGTACTTTTTGACAAGTTGCAAAACATTTACTCACCGTAGAAATTAAGACTGATAACTCCTCTTTGATTTTTATGTCCGTGATACTTAAGCTCGTCGGCTTTGTAGAAATCTTTGGTAGAAGCCTGGCCACTTTCTATTCCCGACTTTGGAACGTGCACATAGTTTCCTGCAATAAAGAATACTAGTTTAAATATCCAATTAATTTAGAAGTTATTCACGAGCAGTTTAAGTACAAAAACTAATCAAAAATATATCATGTAAAAATTGCCAAATTAAAAAAAATGGCGAATTTATGACCTACCTGGTTCTTGCCCTTGGGCAAATATGACGTGCATAAAATCTTCTTCAATGCTGTGATCTGACATTTCTTTCGATTCCAATTTTTTTCTAAAGAGTATGGTAGTAACACCATCTTTTTCAAAACCCATTACCGCAGTCAAGTCGTTTTTGCCACCCCAATAACTGTCCATACGAGGTGTTGATCTAATAAAATATTCAGTAATGTGATTATAATGATTTATGTTTAACATTTTCCAGAATCATTGCCATTGTTGAGGTCAGGCGTTAAAGTTGTTTTTGAAGTTGCTTTTAAGTCGTATTTAAAGCAAATATTTTTTTTTTTTCGAATTAGTCTTCGAGTATTACCTGTCACGGGTATAGTAATCCGCAATTCTACTGGCCGTGCCTCTTGCTGAACCTATGACTATATCGGTACAATCCATAGGGTTGAAATCATGTCTTGGAGTATACGGATTTAAAATTTCTGCAAAAAAAGTTTACTAAAGCAAACAGGTGTTGGTAGTTAATTTTATCAATTACTTGACTCCCTTTTACTGTTTCGTTCAAACTCCCACTTACCCGTGCAAAACATTTTTTCTTGTCAAAGATTAGGCGAAAATTTTGGAAACAAACTTAATTTTCTATAAAAACAATCTAAAACCATACACAGAGCACTAAAGCACTAGAGCAGAGTCAAAAACCTGCGAATTCTTTACATATTCCTAATACTAATAAACACCATGCAGCATGCAGTAATTACCTTCGTTAATCGTTTTCGGTGCAACTTCTAAAGTAGCGTAGGTTTTAGGATCAAGTTTTGCATTCCGAGGTTCAGGCTCGGCTTTTGAGTTAGGCTCAGACGTAGGTTCGGATCTTGCATTGGGTTCTGGTTCGGAATTCCGTGCCGTTGCTGAAGTTGGTTCTGGTTCGGGTTCGGAATTAGTTTCAGGTTCGGATTTAGGTTCTGGTTCGGATGCAGGTTCAGGCTCTGAGCTAGGCTCGGGTTCTGCAATGGGCTCGGATTTAGGTTCAGGTTCTGAAGTAGGTTCTCTAGTGAATTGCGGTTCTAAATTTGGCACGGAACTAGTTTCTGTTGTGCGCCTAAATGTAGATTGCGGCGTGGGTTCCGATTCCGAATCAGGTTCCGACGTAGAGGCAGATTCTGTGCCTGATTCTACGAAATTGGAAAAGACACTATCACCTATTAATAGCTTGCAGGTGATGCGGTAAGCCTAATTTAATATAAATTAGAAATTGAATAAGAAATCAGCAAAAGTTTTTGTTGATTTCTTAAAATTTATTTTTTAATTTTTTAATTAATTTAAATAAAGTTTTCTTTGACATAAATCGATATCCCATATTTGTAGACGCGATACAGATAGTGATTAATTGATTTTATTTTGTTTTAATGAGGAATCAAAGCGCTCCTGAAGCGCTTTGATTCCTCATGTCATTTTTGTTAGTTACATTTTTAATATAAACATCTAAGATTTATTCGATTGATCTGAACTTTTTCTGTAAAATTTTATTAAAAACTATGCAGTGTTCGCTTTTACAAGTCTTGAAAGTTTGAATTATCTGAAATCAGGCAATTTGTAAGAAAAACCTTCGCATCAAATCTAAACATAACATTAGATAATAATAAATTTAAATGCTTATACCGGGGTGTATTCCATTTAATATATATATAAACCAGTAGCGAATCATCTCATCATATTTAATAAATCATCTCTAAGCTCTAGTTTCGATAAAATCGGATTACAATAGTATAAAATTATTTAAATGAGGTAAACATTGAGACCTTGGACTGCGCGAAGGGCAGATCTTAAACCAGTAGAACATTTATGGGATCAGATGGGTACGTAGTTAGAGATCATCAAGTATCACCTGCCTCCTTGGATGATGTAGAAAATATTGTCAAAGAAATATGGACTAATATCGATCAAGTACAAATTAAACGTCTGGTTCAAAATATGAGTCGTCGATGTCAATCTGTTATAAGGAGTAGGGGAGGCTACCGTCGATATTGACTTTTGTAATTTTTATCAATTTGTTTAATTTTTTTTTGTAATGATCTGTAATTGTTACACATGACCTTAAAGGCCGTGTTTCATTTCATAAGTGAGATAAAGACGTGAATAAGAAAACGCTGAGAAAAGAAGGCGCTGTGCATTGACTTGCAGACACCTAATAGTGTTGAGTATAAAACTGATTTCTCTTTAAACACACTGTACATGTCTAAGACATAAATTTAAATAAAAACGTGTTTTGTAACATCGTTTCTAAAGATTTAAGCTACGATTAAAAAATATATTTTTCCTAATCCAGTAAACAGTGGGGTAGAAAATTAACTTTCAAATGGACAATTTTTATAAAACCTCTGGATTCCTCCTGCGTCGGTTTTTGTGGAGTCGCACTAGAAAATGTTTCGTCAGTCTGAAGAAGAAGGCAACAGGATGATTGGCGAAACGTTATCTAGTTGGACTCAACAAAGGCGGAATCCAGAAGTTTTATAAAAAGTATTACAGTAGCCTTTGAAAAATTTTTTTTTCGAATGGACCTTTGTGATGCTTTAATTTTAATGCGAAGTGTATAATAATAAATTTGTAATTGTTTCGTAGTAACGAATATATACGCTAAACTGTTTTTTATGGATTGTTTATCGATTTTCATCAAAATTAAAACTTAAATAGCTTCTTTGGTAACGATTCGATCTAATTTATTATATTCGAAATGGGTGTTATAAGGAAGTCTAATGGCTTAACTGTATGTGAGATACACATTCTGCACAAGTTGGATATCAGGACTTAACAGCAACTTTAATGCTTTTATAAAGTTACGTGTGTAAAGTGATTTGTTATAGAATCCTTAAAATATGCACTTACCTATTTCGATTTGCCTCTTGTTTCTACCTAAAATAAAATGTTTAACAATGTAAGTCGGTGAAGTTTGCAAAGTGGGTTTTTATATATGCTACTTGGGAATGGTTAATGCAGAAATGTTTGGAAATTCTTCGCAGAAAAAAATTATTGAGTATTTATTTTTCTCTTTCAGTTATTTAATTTTTCCGTATACGATGTTTAATTTTTTTAACTACAAACAAAAACTACTGCCATAATGATGCTTTGAACATTCTTGAAATTTAATATATCTGTAATTAAATTATATATTTAGTAAATTGTGTCAATATTCAGAGTGTTAGATTGCAAATAAAACAGTCGGTATTTGTCGAGGAGAAATTCCAAATGTACGAAAAAGTAAATACCTAAACAAATACCCCAGTTAACACAAGGAACTTTCATATTTTGCTTAATTTTTTTGTAGTTCTTATTGGTTCTTGTATCTTGCGTGGATCACTACTTGTTAATAGCCACTCTACTAACAAGGAACTAATTTGTGTTAATTTATATTAAATATGGAATAATATTTAAAATTAGAGAAATGCGATTTTAACAGAAGATATTATTTGATAAATGTGGAGCTCTCTTCATCAAATTTAAGAAGTCATAAATTATTGAAGTACGACCGTAAATTTGCACATTTAATATAGTTTGTATTTAAATTGCTTATTTGAATTCACCATCTGTATGAAAGATCCTGTTACCTACACATAATTCGGTAATATCCTATTTCACAATTCGGAAGATCTCTCAGGCAATTTTATAAATTCAGACACCTACCCTGTCTCTTGCTAACTTGAAATGAGACGCTAGTTTCTACTCTATCTACACCTTCAAGTTCATCTTTCAGCACCGGATTGGGTGAAGCTGAACGCCTGTTTTGTACAGACTTTCGTTTCTGAGGGTTTGACCCTACTGAAGGTTCTGGTTCCGACTTGGGTTCAGGTTCGGAAATTGGTTCAGGCTCTGAACTTGGCTCCGGTTCTGGTTCTGACTTAACCTAATTTAATTAATTTGAATTTTTATTATTATTATCATCTTTATTATTATTATTATTATCTATTAAATATCTAGTTCTGGTTTGATTCGACTAATTATTAGTATATTTTCTAGAAAGGTGAAAATTTAAATGTTGAAAAAGTGATTAACTTACCTCTTCTCGGCCACCGGAAGGCTCAGCATGTGGTTCTGAGGTTGGTTCAGGTTCACTTTGTGGCTCAACTTTTGATTCTGTAGAATTAGTTATACTTATATCTAGAGCATCTAGAGCGATCTAATAATTCAAACTGTATTTCTTCATGAATTTGAGGAAGTGCTCTCTTAAATTCTTTTTTCAATTTTTATATTCACACACTAATTTTTTCTATAGTTGTACAATGCAATTCAATTTTGATTTCGAGCATATATTTCGTTTTATTAATTTTATGTTGTTCAGATTTAAAATAATGGGGTTTGTAAAAAGGTCTTTAAATGAGGACTGCCTGTCTTGCAAATTGTATTTGTGATAATTATAAAATGTGTGTGTTAAAAGCATTCCTTTCTAGTTGTGAAAATTTTACCTTTAAGAGGAATTTTTAAAATATTTACCCGAAGAATCAACTTTGGTAACAACGGGTCCAATCTGCGGAAAATTTTTGCAACTCTTGGTCAGACTTTTTGGTCGCCATCCAAGGGCTGCATAACTTGTTCCGTTTACCACCATAATTGCCTCAATTTCTTTATGCTCCTTCAGAATGCGCCAATGCAGAGTAAACGTTTCGCTCAGTTGCATTTTCGTATACAAGTCGAAATCTATCTCCGATGTTTTTACGGGAGATCCTAGAGACATTACGTATTAGTTACCACACATGAAAAACGTCAGTTAAGAATCGGCTAACTTTTAATACAGCCCGGTCCAAACCATCCAATTTGGCAGTAGCACTGCTTTCTTGGTGACGTAGTCGCCTCTATATCGACACACACGCCGTGATCTCCGCAGTCGCTGCCTTCTAAACATTCGTCTCTGAATTGACATACCGGTCCGTAGTATAGTCTGTCGCATTTGCATTTACCAAGTAAATATCGTCCATGACCGCTACAAGATTCTTTGAAGTTTTTCCCTAGAGGCACAAATAAAAATTTTATCACGATTAGAGATTTTAAACGATCCCTTGCATACAAAATTCCACGAACACGAAAATTATTTATCTATCGATAGCGTGACCTCATTTGTTAGGTAATCTAACACATGGTTAGTAATTGCACTCACCCGTAGGAGAACACTGGACAAAATTGATACTTACTGGAACTGGAAGAGGACGATCTGAAAAGCGGAAAGATCGCTCTGGACATGCCGAAGGGTTTGTGGCAAAACCTGGCTATACATGATGGATCATAAGGCTAAGCTAGAAAGACCTATATAGCGATTTGAAACTCTACTGGGGCTATGTATCATCACCGTATATATCTGGAAGAAGGGGCAAGATGCTTCGAAGAAACTTCATTGGTTGGATACAGTATTGATCCACGGTATTATGGAGATGCTATCATACATGATGCCTAAGATATCAATGACAGACCTCCATTTTGAAGTGAACCTGCCAAAGACGGATGAGTGACATTCTTTATATTAGGGTGCCGTAATAAGGTATCACTGATACGAATACCAGGGCTTGCTAGGCATTGGAGACGACCCGGAGTGCAGGTGGTGTATGGAAGGGGAGGAGACCCTGTATCTTCTGCCTCACCGAGTGCCCGCTTTGACATGGGCAAGATTGAGAGTCTTCGGAACGGCCCTGATGGATCCGGACTCAGTGCACGGTATTGGGCTAAAGGAGCGGCCTGGGGGCACAACGGGCCCATCTGGTGGCCTAAGTGCTTGGACGTCCGCGAGGGCGCCCCCTTCAATACCAATACCAATACCAGGGTAAAGAGGAGTGGAAGGTAAAGACAAAACTAACCTCCTGGCGAGAAAAAGTGTAGGAACACACAAATAATTCCACAGCTCCAAGTCCTGACTAACAAGAAATTCGTGCGTACTGGCAGCCATTAGAAGACAGTGATAGAATGTGTTACGAAAAAATGCACAGCCGACATCCTACTATTAGCCATGAAAAGGTCAAATATGAAAACTCTCTTAGAGATGTACATACGGACATGGCAGCCTCAAATACCATATGCACATCGGCATCGGATGACGAATGCAAGTTGTGCTTGGAAGATGAGAAAATGGCAGAGCACAATATGCATATGCTTGGCGATCGGGTGCTCAAAACTTAGGACCGAATCCCTCAAACCTGAGGATCTGAATATCAGCTGAGTCTGATGGGGGAGTGAATGGTTGAGAGTGTGCTACAATCGACCAGAAGATCACCAGGTCACATAGGTCACACACAATAAACCCTAGATCCTAACGCTTCGCTTTTTACTAATATATAAATATGTTTTTAATTGTTTATTTATTTTACTCGTTTGTTATATATTGAGATTTTGAGGTATATTGGATCGAAGAAAAACTATTCGTGTCACGGGTGCGTTCACAGCACTTATGACGTTATTATTTCCAGTTCAAATAGGGAGTTCGTTATCCTTAGCTTTAAGTTCTAAATAAAAATAGCTGGATGCTGGAGGCCTTTTTTTTCAAATAAAGTTATTGTGTTCGCTAAAAAGAATACTGAATAGGCTATTTTCAGTTACTTAATTATCTAAGGTCAGATCATAATGACTGACCGATGTTTTCATTTACTGACTGTTTTTATTTTTGCTATAACTAGCTCTCCTGAAAAGTGTGTATTTTGAATGCACAATAACTATCAAAATTATTTTGACGAGTTAGATAAAAGATAAAATAAAATTTTAGGAAGGGACTTAAAATTTTGTAATAAATATTAGAAATCTGGCCAAAAATTACAATAACACTATCATTGATAAAATAAACAGAGTAATAAAAGGTATTTAACATAGCGGGCATTACTTTCTAAGATTGCAAATAATCGATTTACTACAAATCAGAATGGAATTTTATATTTCTGTTTGTCAGTTTAGTTCACGGAAATCAATCTGTATGAAAAGTCAACAATTTTCAGTACATTTTTCTACCGAAGAAAATAATAGTATTCACGAAAAGTTTGCATGAGTCATTCCGACCCTACAATAAATATCATTCAGGACTGCCAGAAGTGAATGTACCTTCAAAGTTGTTGTTCTAACAACGCCAATCAAGTTTATCGGTAAAGCAATTTAATGAATACAAACTACCAAGGCTTAGATTTGTTCTGTAAGAAGGCAGTGGGACAAGGAAGCACATTCTTAAGGAGACACGCAGTTAACATTCATGATGGTCAGGTGCAAATGGCAAAAAAATTCGCTGTGGTAATAAATGCCATTCTTTTAATAATTTTGAAATGCAGAGTGGGAGAGAGCGATGGAGCAAAAATAATAACGGCAAATAAATCACTGTTTTTATGAAAACTCGGTTTTTCTCCAATTTTCGCTCCCACGTCATATAAAACTTTTAATTTGTTGCTGTTTTGCCCAGCTGATACAGGTTTTTTCAAAATAAAGTGTAACAAACTGAATTAAAAGCAATTTTAACTTAATAATAAAAATTACAATGACTTGATGCATTCGATTGCGGTTCGGTGAGTACTTGTGACATTCTGTCCGGCCCAAAAATGCCAATTCCAATAAAATATTTGTAAATATTGTAGGGATGCAACTCTTGAGTGTTTGAGTAACAGAAGAGATAACTTGGGTCCAAAAGTGTGTGTCAGAATATGCTGCAGTAACCAGTTTTTTAGTAAAGCATATTTTCTTAAATTTGAACTGGGAGACGAGAGAGAGAGAGAGATTGAATCTCAAATACATAAATGAATCATTATCTTTTCAAAATAAGAAATTAATTTTAAATTATTTATTGAATCGAACGGAATCTCATTCTATTGCCCTTTCGCTGTTTAGGATGTTAAAGAGACGACTTAAAATACGGAATAATAGTACACCTATAAGGCAAAGCAGATATTTAGAGAGGACTGTAATATAGGCACTAAACTTTAAACCGTATTCCGCTCGTTTCTAATTAAATTCTAATATTGATTAATATTTTTTAAAATTTTAAACTTACTTGCTTTTATATCTACATCCGCGCAAGACCAAAATCTGTAGTTGGAGCCCCACTCCAATGCTTGCCGAATCAATCGTAAGGTGCAATTTGTACAAGTGAACTCAGCTGGCAATTGAACTTGAAAGCTTTGGGCACTGGAAATACATAATATTGCATTCTCAACTTAACTCATGACTAATGTAACTTGTAAAACGTTTAGGTGCAACAATAGTTACGATTTACATTTGTTTCTTTATTACCTATACTAGAAAACCGAGGTTCAAAAAGCTGAAATACTTTTTAATAAAATAAATATATTACTTACGTTGCATCATTGGAAATGAACTCGGTACCCTGGATGCTAGGTGTAAGTTCCAATACTGGCCTTTCCAATTCATCTAAGAGCTGGATTTTAAAACCACCCTAAAAAAAGTTTATACCGGTTGCTTTTCTTTTCTTCAAAATTAGTATTAAGACATTTCAAAACCTGTTTCCAATGCGTTGATAGTTATAGAGGTGCTATTTGCTATAATAAATAGTAAATCTAAGGAAATAAAATCTAATTGGATAGAATCAAAATCAATGGAGATCGATAAAATTGCAGGAAAAATGTGCGATTCCAGGAAATATAAATATAAATTAAAATGAAACAAAAACAAAACAAAAATTGGTTTTATTAATGTTGTAATGTAGAATATTATATTATATTATTAGAATCATTTAATTTATTAAAATGCAATGAAATACGTTTGCTTGTTTTTATCATGTTCGGGTAACAATTTTTTCGTATTTTGAGATAGACTTGCTATAAAGTTGGTCATCAGATAATTCGTTCCTTTTAATTTTTGACAAAGCTAATAGTTCACTTAATATTCTTTACAAAATACTAGTAATTTCCGCCAGCGCCTTAACTGATTTCGTATTATTTATTATTCACAAAGGCAGGCGGGCAGACCCATGACGAATAGAGTCATACAGTTATGCGAGTTATTTATAACATAATTTTTGTGTTCAATTTAATTTTACCAGTGGGAACACAATTTTGTGGTTTTTGAAAAGAAAATCACTCTTTTACTAATCCTATAAATCAAGTGCCTCACTGCAGAGGATGAAATAACAGATTTATTTTAAATTAGCGGTATTGGTGGTTTATTATGTGATGCTGTGCAGTGTTGAAACTTTTGCAAGTGATCAGAATGTACCCATTCCTTTCTCTTATCCTTTTCAAAATAAAAAGAAATTTTCACCGTTTTTAAGAAATTTCGTAGATTGAACAAGCCTTAATAATTTAAATCTTTAACCTAACAGAAAATCAAATTTTTCCATGTCGTTAATGGGAGCGATATATTTTAGATGATGCATATACCGCGTATTTCAAAAATAAAGTTTTGTAGAGGCCTTATAGAAACACTATTTAGTGAGGTATTGGCAAAACTTTGTTAGAGTGACAACAGATTTTTTTTTAAAGACAATAATAATATTTATAAATAGAAGTTACAATGAGATAAATATTCGGTCCGAAAACTAAGTGAAATCTTACGAAGCATCCTCTATTTATGTGCAAACCCTTCTGTTGTCTTTATTAAGGTTTCTCCAAATAATTTAAAAAAAGGAAAGAAGAGCAATTCTTAAGCTTCGGAGAGTGACTCGGTAGGTAACACCCCAGGGATTACTTCGTGCTAAACCAAAGATGGAAAATTTGGTAACATTAAAAAATTAACAATTTTGTTTAAGACCTGCGTAGTTTATGAATTAATGAATTAATTATTTTCAATTAAGTAAAATTTAAAACGAGAACAATCTCGATTACGTCCATGTGAAGAAAACTAAACTGAAAGAACTGAAAGATTAATTTTAATTTGGAAATAACCACGACTTTTTTTGAATTTCTAGGATCACTAGGATTAATTGCAAAATTGAACTATAATAGTCTATAAAAACTGGCAACTGATTGAGCTACTTCATAATGAATTTTATCGTTTCTAAAACGATTTCATGTTTAGATTATATATTCCTAATATATAATTTAAGGTTTTATGTACCTAACTAGAATTTCCAAACGCTGGCTTTTCGTACATTAATAAGAATTATAACGAAATACTGTAAAATGTATATCTCGTAGAAAGAATTTTTATTTTGTAAATAATAGGAGCCAATATCATTAAAAAACTAACAAATACAAACATTTAGCTGAGCGTAGTTTAATCGTACCTTATGAGGGTAACCCAAGTGCCACGTCACATTGAATTTACTCCCAGCCAACAGAGATGTCCGTATATCACCTGTAACAGAGAACGGTTTCAAGTTAATTTTTTATTTTTGCCATTTTGGTTATATTTAAGTGATTTAGCATTTAATTAATTAGTAGTAACAATAAATTTATCGAAACTAGCAATAATGCCTTTCTATCGCATGCTTAGTTAAGTGAACGCAAAGGACATTATTTATAATATTGCTTCATCTGTGTCCTTGTGTGCAGCAAATACATCTAACCTCAATCCACTAAGGTTAAATCACGCATCGTATTAATTATCCGTAATTTATCTTGAATCGTTAACCTTAATAATTCTGCACAATTTCCTAGACCATTGTAATTTCATTTAATAGTCCCTTTTTTATTCTCTTAACCCTGAAAATCCCCATATTATCTGCAATAAAAACAAACGATGGTTGCAAAATTGGAGAAAAACCTTAGTTTGAACAAAATCCGATTAGAAAGATTGAATCAAATAAAAATCGGTTACAATAAGTTAAGCCATATGTAAAACATTATACATGTGAGGTATTGATTCCAGTCTATTTTCTCGCATTACCTTTTAATAGATGGATAAATCTACACATTTTTTCATTATCTGTGTCATTGCAGTTCTTATTTGATGTTTTTTTAACGACAAGTTGAGTATTCATTTAACTTTTTATTGATTGATTGATTGATATTTAATTTGATAATTGATTTTATTACAAAGAACACTTTTAAATCAGCGCGCGGAAGTTCGAATGAAGTCTGTTGTGTTCTTCAGCCAGTAGCACTACAGTATACATTCAGAACACTTTCATTCGGTTTTTTTATGTACATTCCTTGTTCATTCGGTGTAAATCGTCTATATTTATAATAAATTAATAGTATTTATTATTATTATTATTTTCCTTTGCCAGTTACAAACATGTGTAATTACCCGGAGGTACAAACTAGCTTTCCCAGTGGCCTGAACAAAAATGGTTTTAACATTACACTTTTGTAGGTCGTTTTTTATTAAAAATATCGAAATCGTATGAAACCTGAATGGTGATTTGCGTATATTAACAAATAATTACATAAAACGAAGAAAAAAAAGGTCGGATTTCTGATATTTCCCAACTTATAAACTAATTAAATCCATAGTCACCAAGTATACCTTGGCTTTTAATCTTATAAAGTCGCTCATGATTGCAACGTGAATAGATTAAATCATTTATTATGATATAACAGCTAACGGTTATTAATATAGTTATAATTAATAAACAATGTTTTCTGAATGAGTAAAATGCAGGCATTTAATGTTGTGCAGTTTCACTATTCGATCAATTCCAAATTAGTTTTACATGGGTTATATAATTTTCTTCGCAACTGTTGATGTTGAAAAATAAAAGAAAATAAGGTTCTGATAATCATAAGTTAACTTTAATATCAAGTACATGAAATCGTTGTCCTTACTTTTTTTCATCATTTTTAAGACACTTGCCGTAACCATGCAAAAATACTCTCGCACCTGTCGATGTGTATGGTAAAAAAATGATTAAAAGATCTTTAAAAGATTTCCTTGAGATGTCAAGCATTATTTTTCGTTCATCGGACCTAACGTATTAATTATAATGCGATTATGTTTATAAATTGCTGAAGACGCTCATGTTGTGAACATGGCAACCTTGAGAGGACCAGTTCAAGCGAATTCAATTTAATTTTTGAAAAGGTTTCTAACCAATCTTAATTTTTTTGCCGTTGATAAAGGAGCGTGTAGCTGAAGAAATATTTCGTAACGAGAGAGAACGAACAGAAAAGAATAACTGCTACAAAAACAAAATTAAAACTCATTAACTATGTTTGTGGAAAGCGACAACAAAAAGTACCTACATCAGTGACAAAACTTCACCAAGTTTCATCAAATACGAGAAATTGTATTTAGAAACCCCAAAAAAACTTAACTGAAACTGAACTGACACAGTTTTGAAGCTCTGAAGAAGCTAACAGGATGATTGGCGAAACGTCAGCAAGTCTGATTGATCAACAACGGACACAGGAGGAATCCAGAAGAATGGTAAATATAAAAACGTGTTTTGTTGTTTTAGCCTTTTCAAAGAACTAAAAACAAATTTTCTGTGGCGCTTTATCTTTCGAGAAAAAAACGTTCATCCTTTAAATAAATTTAAATTCTAAAATACTACTAAATACTACTACTACTACGCAATAAAAAATAACCCATTGACCGCAAACCAATTCTTTTGGTTTAAATAAAAATAATAGAAAACCGATTGCGCTCGTGTTTTTAGAACATCATCACCATAACAATTAAAATTGTTTTTTCCTTTCACTTCTACGCTTCATAGCCTTACGTAAACTCAAGTGGGAGACTACCTATACGAACGGTAATTATTCAACCATTGTTATTGCCTATACAAATCCATGTAATCCAGAATTAAATCTTTACAATTATTTTGGTCCCATTAGGGTATTCAATTTTCGTAATAGATTACAGTCCTTAGATCTGTTACAGGCATATCTTACATAAAAGATACATAAATACCGTAAAATCCTCAGGAAGCTATTCGCGAAATGAATGAGTGAATTTATTCTCCGATGGTGGCGCTACTAGCAGTTAATAAATGTGCCTCATTGGAAATATTTTATAATGTTTACACATATAGTGCCCTACTATAAAAAATGATCCACCGTTAGTGGCATTGATATTTTCGTAGAGAGGGGAATGATTTTCCGCGCATGCCTCTACATTTCATCCACTAAAATGCACTTTGCTCCCATTTCTTTCTAAAGGGCGATTTCCTTACACTTAACCCATTTCACCAGAACACTTATCGATATGTAGACATGTTTTGATAAAATACTGGCAAAAAAATTCCTTATTCCAACTTATTGACGATTTGTCAGCATGTTGGTTAGTTTAGTGCCGCAAGGTCAATGGTTAAACCTTGTCAAATTTGGCATCTCCTCTATATCTTCAGTAGCTCTATGGAGACAACAAAGGAACTAGTAAATGAGGCAGCATGGGGGGACAGGAACATGGGCTATGAAAAACCAGAGAAATGTTTAAGGAGATGAAACGCTGCATATTAATATATGAACTTATATACTAGTTGTAGTTTTTTGTTACGGTATTTCGGCATTATGTAACAATTAGTAAAAGTTACAGAAATTTTAATTGACTTTTTTTCCAATTATCGGATTGATTATTATAAGTTGCTTCACGCAATATTACGTTCACTATTAACCGACGTGTACCTAACGATCATTAATTTTACTCCAATTTAATATATATAATTTTGTAATCCAATTTTATCAATTTCGTGAACTATTGCCGTAACTACTCGTAGCATGGGCCTACAACATGGATTGGGCACTTTATTAACGTGAGATTACACCAACTATTTCAGGATAACCCCTAATTAGGTTTTTTTGCAACTCGTGTAATACTTCCTATTCAAGTTGTCTTAAGGTAGCCAGTTATGGTTTAGGCTTGCGATTTAGATTAGTTTACCCTTGATATCGATATAAAGTTATCTAAATTAGTGTCAGAAAAGATACAAAGTTCAAAAAATCCTATGAATATTATGTTTCAGTGTCAAATGACTTTTTTAAAAGGTCTCAAATGCATTTATTTAATCTATTCTCATTCTTGTTCCCAGTTCTTTTCTTTACCATAAAGCTTTAAAATGTCTTTAAATAAATATGCATCACTAAAGAACATGATCTAAAGAAAAAGAAATTGCATGCTGTTGGCAGTGTAAAGTCTAATTCGAAAAACTATTTGCAAATTGTTTGAAACTAGCCAAATTAACATTTTATTTATAGTTTAAAATATTTTATTTGGAACATCATAAAAGTATCATACAAGGAAATACAACGTACTGTCAACAGTGTGTCGATGATCGATTATTTACGGTTGGATTTAGTTTTAACTTTGAAGAAAAACGGGTGATTATTAACTTTGATTTGGGAAGTTTGTCAGGCTACCGCTTCCTGCATATTACCGCATTCATCCGCAAAGATTTTGTTTTTGAGATACAAGGAAGTCATTTAAAATTTTTGTTTTTCTAATTAATTTGAAAATATATCGATATTTAGACGAAAAAAAAATTTTTTTTTCTACTCCCGTCTGTAAAATACCTAATTACACACCGATCTAGCGTGCGGGAAGCGTCACTTTACCACTTCGGACATTTCCGGGATTTGGAGCAATGGAATGTTTTCGTTGTAGTCCCCACGCCTTGAATTGTGACGTTTATCAATTCTGAAGGTTATGTCAGTGAATGCATTCCTGTTGTTTTGCGAAAATGTACCCAAAAACTAACAGTCGTAAAAAAAGTATGCTATGCAACACGTTCGGCCACTCGTTTATCAAATCAAATGTCGTTTATCGCACTTGTTGCATAATATACTATAATAAGACGTTCGAATTTCTTCTTAGTTTACCATGCTACAAACTCTTCACACCCTGTACTTCAAAACCATTGCCCTTGCTTTCCCTTCAGTTTTCGATCAATAGAAATGTCTCTGATAAAACCATACACACGACTAATTGCACTATCCAGCAATGTTAAAATTACAACTGTCATGAGATTTTGATTTAATATTAATAAGTTAAGTAATACAAATAATAACGTCACATAACATGCACATTTATTATTTAATAACGAATGCTTTGGTTTTTGATTCGAAAATTAACGGATAAGCAATAGAAAACTAATAATTGAATTTTACCGTTGTATTTTTTGGGATAATTTAGAAATCGAAACGACCCCTATTTTAGTAAAATTGGTTTAATTAACGTACGCAAATTAGTAAGTAAATAACTTCCGACTACTGAACTACTTTTTTCTTTAATTAAATCTGCAATTTGTGCTTTACAATTGCATAATTTACGCCACAGCGAATACCTAAATAAATAAGACCACGAGACCATAATCGTTTGCAAGAAAATATAAGTTGTTAGCGGGAATTCCTGAAATAGTCTCGAGAACGCCTGCAGCAATCACGCCTAGTTCGCATGAATGTATGCAGTCGAAGCTA